ACCTAAAAAATCACATGCAAAATAAAAAGAGCAATTAAAACAATTGATTTTTTTTAAAAAATTTCTTTTTATGAAAAAGAATCATTTACACGATTATACACACACACTCTATATATCAATTGTACCAATTAGAAATTCTTTTTTTTTTTTTTTTTTTTTTTTTTTTTAAACAATAATAATAACAATAATAACGATTAATTTTGAATTATAGTATTTTTCATAATCTCCCCCCAAAAAATTAAAATAATTATAAAATAATTATGAATTGAATCGTATAAAGGAATAATTCGATTATGCAGAATATAAATAAACAAACATATAGCTACATATATGTAAATATATCTAACCTGTCATGATCGCTTCATCTAAAATAGGTTTCTTGCAAACATTACAACTATATGAACATCTTTCACATATTGGATTTCCGTCAGATAATAACAACAGATTTGAATCGTGTTCAACCAAATTATGACATTTTGCACATCTAAAACTATGTTGAGGCATTAATTAAATAATTGTATAAGAATGAAAATTTATAAAGATTCAAATTTCATAATTAATAAAATTTAGGTTTGTACGTACCAATGAACATGCCATATACCTGTACCAAAAGCTACAACGTTACCTTCTTCTATAAGGTAACCACAACCCATACAAGAAGGGTCACCACCCTCATCAGAGTTTAAAGATTGGCCAAGAATATCGACCATGTTGAATGATGGAAAGTTTTTTTATTATTGAGGTAGTTAACGCGTGTTATCAAAAAATAATAATATGTATATATATACATATATATATTGAGCTTTAACATAAAATTATAATTATTTCTAAGAGAATATATTAATTAATTAATATCTATATTTATTTATATTTAATAATATTTTTAAAAGAAAGTGTTTGAAAATTTTTGAAAAAGAAAATTATTTTTGAATATTTGCTATATAACAACAAATAAATAAATAAATAAAGATGATAATTAATATTTATATTATAATTTATTATTATTTTTTTTTAAAAAATTTAATATCAGTAATGTCAGAAACAAAAATGAAAAATATAATTTTATTATTGCTTTTACTATCACTAGTCACAATTGTCAATTCAATTTTTTTACAAAAAATTCATCCTCAAGAATATTCTTTACAACTTGATAATAATGCTTTCACAGTTTCAAGAACCATAACAGATTGTAGTAAAAGTGAAGATATTCTTCAAATTGAATATATTAATTTGAAACCTGATCCACCAGCCAAAGGAAAACCACTCTTTGTTGATGCTGCTGGATTCTTAAAGGAAACAATCTTGAACGGTAGTTATGTTGATGTGGTTGTTAAACTTGGTTCAGTCAATATTTTTGATGAAAGAATGGACTTGTGCGAAAAATCAGCCGAATATGCAGAAATAAATTGTCCAATCAAGAAAGGTCATCGTGAATTACACCGTGAATTTGAAATACCCAACGCTATTCTCCCGGTATGAACAAATTTATTTCATTCCTATTAAACTTACCTTGTGGTTTTTTTTTAAAAAGTTTTTTTTTTAAAAAATTAAATAACAGGGAACTTATATTGCCGATATTAATGCATATACATCTGACGGCCGTAAAATTTTATGCCTAAAGGTTACGGTAACATTTAGGTTTTATTCGAGAAACTGTCTAGCTTACAATTGAATGTTCAAATTTACTTGTTAAGAGTCTAATATTAAATGTAAAAAAAATTAATATCAAATGGTATATTTTACCGCGTCTGACA